TATGTTGCAAATATGGTCTTTTAATTTATTTGTTAAGCCTTGCTTATAGTCTTTTTTGCCTTGGAATAGTTTAAAAACTTAAAAAAAAATCAAATGCATTAATGTTTTTATTTTATTGCATCTGGTGCTTAGAGAGCCTTCCTCTACACCTATTAGAGAGTAATGCCTATTGTTTGTTGAGAGCTTTCCATGTAAACGGTGCTATACTGAGGACTTTTCTTCTTTTATCATGTTTAATAATTGGAAGAGCTCTGTGATTTACTAGGAGCCAGTGGCCTTGGAGCCAGTGAGACCTTGGCTGCTCAACTTCACTCCGTCAGTGGTGTGATCTTGCACATGGTGTCTGTATCCGCTGAGTTTCAGTCTCATTATCCGCAAAAAAGGGAATAATAATAGCGTCTAGGTCAGAGAGTTCTTGTGAGAATTACAAGAACTTTGAACAATTCCTGACATCTAATGAGTGCTGAATGAAAGTTGGCTAATTACTGTACCATAATAATTAAATTAGAAACATAAAGGGTATAATCTAATGCTCCCTTCTTCAAATTGAGCAAAGTTCTGTCATCACTTTAAATGTTTATATTTCTTTTACCATAAGTTTTAAATATCACCGTGAAACAGAGTATCTTGTTTTCTTTTTTTCTTTATGCATTTTGTTTTATTGTAACTTAAATCAGATACTTAAATCTAGGGTTTCTTTTGGAAAGACTCAGGGAGAAATTTGGGACCTGAAGGTGAGAGCACATTAACTGTAATTTCAAACCATTAATGCTTATGTTTCGTTAGTCAAATAAGAATTGTGTTATAGTTCTGGATGCTTCTAAAATATGATGTTCATAAAGTCAAACTTGTTTATTACTGCAGTTCATTGGGGAATGATTTCAACATTTTACAAATGAGTATGGTTGCCTGGCTTTGCCATGGCTGTGCTGCAAAGCTCAGGCTGTGTGCCCTTCTCTGCTAATAGTGGAATCCTGTAATTCTTAGAAGGATTTTTGGCTATTAGAGAGTCGTTGATAATTCCTTGAGCTGGAAATGTTCCTGCTAATGCTTGCTTTTTTAGTGATAAGTTATTGCTGTCTTAACTTTATTTTTAGCAAGTTAGTTTATTGCGGGTTGTTTGGTGAATCCTTTAGTGTTTGGCCTATGTTTTCTCACACTGGGCTTTGAGATCTGTGTGCATTGCTTTGCAAATGTGAAACATCTGCTTTTTATTTGCAATCATTTATTTGTAACTATTTGCAAATATGACACATCTGCTTTTATTAATGCAGATATATAAGCCTTAACCCCCTCCCTAATTTACTTCTGTAATGATGCTTCATTGCCACCACTGAATGTATATATATGGAAACATGGAATTGCTGGGTAGGCAAGTTGGTTTTTTGGTTTACCTCAGTTGGCGATGGCCCCAAAATTTAAGAGCCACTGTCTTAGATTATTTAGCATTTCCTCCTCTGTATTGCTGGTCTAAGAATAGAAAATGTTTTTATTTTCTACTTTGGCCTTAAACTTTAATTAATGATATCCTACATAGTATTTTTCTTGTGTAGCAAACAATTCTAGATTACTAAGCATTGAAACAATTATGGTGAACACTAGAGAGTTAAATAAAAGTCTGCCTTTAATTTGCTTGCTTTTGAATGGCTAGAAGTATCATCTATGCCATGGTGATCTTTAAATTTACTTTAATTTGGGATACCACAGGTTTTTTTTTTTTTTTTGAGATAGAGTTTTGCTCGTTGCCTAGGCTGGAGTGCAACGATGCGATCTGGGCTCACTGCAACCTCTGCCTCCTGGGTTCAAGCGATTCTCCTGCCTCAGCCTCCCGAGTAGCTGGGATTACAGGCATGTGCCACCATGCCCAGCTACTTTTTGTATTTTTAGTAGAGATGGGGTTTCACCATGTTGGTCAGGCTGGTCTCAAACTCCTGACTTCAGGTAATCCACCTGCCTCGGCCTCCCAAAGTGCTGGGATTATAGGCGTGAGCCACTATACCCGGTCAGGATATCACAGTTTTTATTTTATGCATTTTGCTTGAAAAGTCCTGGATTTTAAATTTCCAACAGCACTTAAAATAGAAGCTACTCAATATTAGTTCTTGGTTTGATTTCTTCTTTCCCCTCTCTGCCCATATTTCCTCAATATGAAGTCATAATTAGAAACTTTCATCCATTACAAGTTAATGATTACTTTGAAGATCTGTCCATTTTTATGTCTTTAGGTTACCAGAGGGAACTTCTCTATCAGAGGGAAGACGGCTCTTTCAGTGCTTTTGGGAATTATGACGCTTCTGGGAGCACTTGGTAAGTGTTTTTGCCAACTGAACAAATCTGTGTCATGGAATGAAATTGACAGATATATCTCTATATATTGTAGACTGGGAGGTTACTTTTTCCTTAGTCTGACTTTAAAAAGAAATTTTCTTTTTAAAGTATTATTTTCAAACATTAACAAATCAAATGTTTTTATTTAGAAAAGATAAGTTATAAATCTTTTTGTGTGTGTGTGTAAGAAACAGAAATAAAAATACTTTATGATGATGGTGCAGCTGATAAAATCAGTTAGAAATGCCGGGTGATTGTGGCACAGCTTTTTTCTTAATCTTCCATGACTAATGCAAGTGTTGTGTTAATGGAGTCAAGGTAGTTTCTTTAAGATTTTTTTTTTGTGTGTGTGTGTGTGTGTGTGTGTGAAAAACAAACACTGATGGAATTAAGTATGAACAGCCAGTTTCCTCCAGACTGGAATCTCTATGTGGCTGATTTTGGATGATTAATCTCTCTTCTTGTACTTATCTTCAATTTCCTATTGTACTCAGAAAAATATTAACTCACTGTATCAATCAGGATGGACTAGGAGTGCTGTAGTAACAACCAACCTACTCAATCTAAGCAATTAACAGTGAAGGGATTTCTTGTTCTTGCTGCCTTTCCATTGTGGTCAGCAGGGGGCTCTGCAGCTGCCAACGTGTCCACGTCTCCAGTAGGAGGCTCCAGGTTTGCCACAGCCCGGAAAGAGGAGGCTGGAATCTATAGCACTGGCAATTAGAGACTTCACCCTGAATGTATCATTTCTACTCATTTTATCCTTCTCAGAGCTGGTCACGTGGCTATGCCTAACCCCACTGGGGCAGGAAAGTGAATTCCTCTGTGTAACCAAAGTAAAAGAGAACTGGATATTATTGAATATTAGTAATGTTTACCACACGAAACTTTATATAACATGAAACGGATCTGCTTCACATTTTCTCTTGGCCTTGGCCTGAGTCAGGATATAGAACCATAAACAGAAACCTTTTAGTGTTTTAGTGCTTGATGTTCTTTTTACCTCAGTATAGTGTTTTGTAGCAGGGACTGGCCAACTGTTCTGTAAAGGGTCAGATTTTAAGTATTTCAGGCATTTCGGGCCACGTAGGGTCTCTGTTGCATGCTCTTCCCTCTTCCTCCCTCTCCTCCCTCTTTCTTTCCTGTCTTTGTTTTTTTCTTTTCCTTCTCCTTTTAATTTGGCAGGTGGGGGCTGGGGTGGTACACACATAAACAGGCCCTGAGCTGTATTCCGCTTGAGGGCCAGATTTGGGCCAGGCAGATTTGGCTCACAGGCTGCCGTTGGCTAACTCCCATTCTATAGGAGAGAAAAATGTTTCCCCCACTTGAAGTACTACAGTTTGCTTGTGAACTATGTGTACATTCTTCATCCACAGCTTTGGGGTTGAGTGAAGTGTGTTGGAGCTCTTCTTTGGTAAATATCTAGAACAGTCCAAAGATGAATAACCTTGGACAATTTATTTAACTCTGTTGGACTGTCAGATTCTCAGTCTACAAAATAATGGAGCTGGATTACATAATTTCTAAATTCCTTTTCAAATCTGAAATTTTTGAGTCAACATGGAATTTCTTGGCCAAGCTCAAGTGGAAACCAGGTCTGCCTGCTAGAGAGAGTTGCTTACCTTGTCCCTTTGCTCTTTCTTTTTTGCTTTTTTTCTTTCCTTTGTTCTATCTTCAGTGATTCCCCCTTCGGTGAATCTTCTGACGGGGAGAAAGTGTTGTTGTTTTGCTTGCTCAGTGTTATTTGATGGACCTTATAAAGTGCATTTTATGTAATTTTTTTCCCTTTTCATAAAGGTTGTCAGCTTTTGTTTTAAGATGTTTCCTTGAAGCCGATCCTTACATAGATATTGATCAGAATGTGTTACACAGAACATACACTTGGCTTAAAGAACGTCAGAAATCCAACGGTGAATTTTGGGAGCCAGGAAGAGTGATTCATAGTGAACTTCAAGGTGGCAATAAAAGTCCAGTAACACTTACAGCCTATATTGTAACTTCTCTCCTGGGATATAGAAAGTATCAGGTATTTCATCTTTAATTTAATATATGATAGATGGGAAACACAAGGAAGGTAGGTCTTAATGGGTCAAATATGTGTGTGGAAACTTAACAAGTTGCAATTTTACAGCACATGTGAAATCTGAATTTGAGTACTCTTTTGCTTTGCATTTTGTGGCCATGTTCCAAAATCTGAGAATAAAAACATTAACCCACTCTTTCAGAATGACTAAGAGAATTCTAAAAATGCTTTTTAATATATGTATTGTACTTGCTATTGGTAAGATAAGTCAATACATGTTTTATCATTGAAAAAGTTAATTTCTGAGGGGAAAGAAAATTATTTAAAATTTGATAATGTGTTCTAGCAAGTTTAGATTGTGAAGGATTTTTTTATTTCTAAAACATCATGGAACAGTTACAATATCTGTTAATTTAGTGCTGAGAACACTCATACCCTGAAAAGTGTGTTGAATGGGCATGGATGCCTGGATGAGAATGAGTGTGCATGGAAAGGTATGCTGACGAGCTTAAGTTTGCTCCAGAGCTGTCCTGGTGATTGATACTGTTACTGCTTACTGCCTACTGCATTTTATGAGATCACCAAAGCCATTCTCTTTATTAGGCCCCCCACTATTTTCCTATTCTACTACTAGGCATGTAGAAGCTAAACTTTTCCTGAACTTAGAGCCACAATAACAGAGATCAAATATAAGAAATATATTTCTCAAGCAGTTTGCTGTTCTTGTGTGAGTTTATGATACTGAGTGGGAGAAATACTAGCAAAAGCTCTACTTTTTTCTTCCAGGTAATGATGCCTGTTATAAAAACTGAAAAAAAGTATTATTTTCAAAATGCATGGCAAATCTTTAAATGTCAGTGATCATGGTTGATTTTCATTGCCTAGGACAAGGTCAGGTGCTTCATAGACACGGAACTTATTTTTTAAATGCATGTTTCAGAGTACTTTTTGTTTCAATATGTGGTAATGGGTTACTTTGGATAGTAAAAAATATACTTTTTTTCTTCCAAGCCTAACATTGATGTGCAAGAGTCTATCCATTTTTTGGAGTCTGAATTCAGCAGAGGAATTTCAGACAATTATACTCTAGCTCTTATAGCTTATGCATTGTCATCAGTGGGGAGTCCGAAAGCGAAGGAAGCTTTGAATATGCTGACTTCGAGAGCAGAACAAGAAGGTAATGTGCCGGGCCCACTTGAGGTTGTTATGCATTATGAAATATATAACTTACGTGAGAAAAATTTTTAGCCAGGTTTGAAATTGATTACATCTGCATCTTTTGGTGAAAAGTAAAACACACAATGAGATCAGGATGGGCCTGACATGGCCACAATACTTCTGGTCTCCCCAGGGTTTTTTTCTACAGAATTTCAGGGCTCAGATGTCTCTTTATTCTAGATATGTCATGCCCTATGTCACTTACCCTTTGAGTGTCTGATACCATTTCAGGTTTGGCAGCCTTGTAGTTTTCCAAGATCTTGGGTTCTGGAGAGACTTAGGTTCAAATTCTGGTTCTGCAACTTACCTTTATGAGGTTCGGTTTTATCAATGGTGAAGTGGGAATAACACCTATTTTAGAGTGGCTGTGAGGATTAATGTGCAATGCTGCTGCATAGCAAATGCTCAAAAATAGGAACGAAAATGCTAATTAAAAGAAATGTGAATACCAAAAAACGCTGCTAGTAAGTGGATTATGTGTATTTTATATATGAAGTAGACAGGGATCCAGGTGTGTGTGTGTGTGTGTGCGTGTGTAAGAAACAGAGAGAGATGGGAGTGGGTTGGCAGAAATAAGATAATGTCCAGTGATTCAAATTTCTGTTAATTCAAGAAGGGATAATTGTGGAAAGTGTTTAGAGGCTTCTTCTGAGACTATAAAAAATATTGTATTAACAGTAACTTAGATTGAATCCTTGTTACCTATTCCAAAGCTGGGGACTAGAAGATTATCGCGTAGAGGCTAAAGCAGTCTGACATTTTTTCTTCTTGTCTGCTTGGCTAAGTGGTAGTTATGTAGTATTCCACCTAAGTGTAGTCATCATCTAAATAGTAATATTTGAGAGAGGGCACCAAGTGGGATAGTCCTCTGGGGGCTAGAGCAGAATTATCTCTAGGAAGGTTGTTGAGTTAGCTGGGGTTCCTAATTTTTTTCTTGGGGGCTTGAACCTCAAACTCATAACACCAACCTTCAGATAATGAAAATAGGAGAGTCTTCCCAGAATAGTAGAGCTAGTTAATGGCAGATTCCCAGAATAGGATTCTTTTCAATGTGTCCTAAAATGTTTTGGGGATGGCCTG